TGGAAATTTATATGGAAAATAAATACTTTTACCAATGTCTGACCCCCCCCCCCCCCGGATAATTTAACCCCCCCACCCCCAACGAAAATATCAAGTGCAACCCCCCCCCCCCCCTCTTCCCACAGGAGAAAAAAATCTGCAAGAAACATTGATGCAACACTTGATTAGGTTTAGTCATCGAGTGTAGTAGCGAAACTTCTCCTAGTGTTGTGTGAACTTTTAAACGACTGTCTTTAGGGGCCAACCTGCTCATATGTGATGTGCTCAGGATGACACTGCCGCCGGTGGATTCAAGTAGTAACCTCATCCGCTTATGCAAAATCTTGGGGCGCTAAATCACATATTTCCGTTGGGCGTCCCATGTCCAATATATAAACAAATGTTAGGCCTATAACAGAAACCTTTGCGGGGCTGTACTCAACAGCTTCCAAAGTTTTCATGGCGATTGGGTGAATGATGCAGTAATGCATAATAGACAGAAAAAAGTTTTTCACATGTACAACTGTATGTGGCCAGCTCACGCGTCGGATAACCTTCTGATTTGGGGGGAGGGGGGGGGGGGGGGGGGGGGAATCCACACATGACGTCACATCTTTTAACGACTAACAAAAAGCCAGACCCTCACACACCCCCACCTCAATGACGTCATTTCTAAATAGTAATTGACTATTACTAATGTTCAATTAATTCTAAACGTTCTAATTAATTTCTAAATAATTATATAAAAAATAATCTTACCTTCCCTGTTTTGTGAATTAGATGTGCCTAATACTATTTAAGTAAATTTATATCTGTTGACTAGTGCTGTCTAGTGTCTGACAAAATGTGCTGAAGTGGTGAATCGTACGGTTAGGAAGTAGTTCATAAACGATACATTGATCTATTCGATACTTGCGAGGCTAAGAATAAGGGATGGGGTGGGGGTCGGCTCGGGAAAAAACTTAAAAGAGACAACAAAACGCATATGTACGTCAGCATCGCCCATTGGAAAACTTACTCAGGGGAGATAATTCCAAGTATAGGCCCTAAAAGTTTACTATGATGTTGCTTGTAAAAGCAAAAACAAGTAACCGTATATAAAACCGAAGTTTCTAGTATTATATTTTTTTTTAATTATTTGTAGGATGCAAGATAGTACAGGATACAAATTCAACCACTATCACAAACACATATTAACATTGAAAAATGTACAATGGTTTTCGGGTCTCTAGCCAATGCCGCAAAGACGAACCGCGCATGATGAAAGCCAACTTGATATGTAGCGGCTTCTCGTGCTAAGGACTTTGTTGTTTTTTTTTTTAAAAGAATTTCGCCGGCGACAGTGTGTGTTTGATTGTAGGGAAATAGAACTCGGCCTTAACGATGGCTATAAAAATACAATTATAATAACTTTTTAAATATATAAATAAATTTGACTACAATTTTTTATCCCCCTTTTTGGTCCCCACCCCTTGCGCTATTCGCCACAGTACACTTTGGAGTATCGGTCAAACAGTTACGTGTCCTCTATTTAGCTATAAAAGGGGGGCAAAGAGTCACAGAAGTCATTCACATTTGAAGATTTGACTATAATCGTACCGCTGCTACAGTAGTTTTCTTTTACAAACCAAATATCAATTCAAAAATGCACGAAAATGAAATTAAAAAAAAATTAATTATGGTCGGCCGTGGGCCCCTAAACGGCCTGGGCCCCCCCCCCCCCCCCCCCCGCATTGCGGGGTCTGGCGGCACTGTAGTTCCGCCCCTGCTCTCAGGGCCCCCACCCCCCGATTACACTACCGCATAGGCGCGGCGTACGACCCCTGGCTCCTTAAAACTAACAGGCCTAATAGCATCATGTTAATAATGAGGCAGATTTCGTCATTCGCTAAAGTGACACAAATGAACAGGATATTTTTCTTTAACACGTAAAAAAATTATTTGACGTGTATTAAATATCAGTGTGACGGATGCAATATGCTAGCGTTACTAATGGTCTATTATTAGATGCTCGATCTCAATTTCTGACTGGATTGTCTAATAATAGATGCTTATTGCATCATTCGAAAAGTGACGAAACTCTACAGTAGGCTCCTCATATTCAAAAAGTAATTTTTTCATCTTTCGCAAGGTGACGAAACTGTACAGAAGGATTTCCTCGCGTTACAAAGTTATTCTTAGAAGCCTGTTGTAGTTTTACCGCTGAATATAGTAGTACCCCTTACTCGCTATGCAGGACGCTCGATTAACGGATGCCAAGTGCCAAATTAGTCGCTCTAAAACTTTGGGCGCCAAACCGTGTATTGATGAAAGTTGTACCCTATTTGGCGCCGCCCATAAGAAACTTTAGTTTTCTTTTTCGTAGAAATATTCTCGGGAGTATTCTCATTTACTCCCTAAAGTTTCATGGCACTCGGATGATACGCATCCGAGTTTTATTTTTTATATACCGTGTATAGAGAAAAAAAAAATCGATCCCCCCTGTGGGGGGGGGGGGGGTCACTGCCCTTGCAATATTAAATTTTTTTTTGCAGAACCCTACCGTTGAGTGATCTAATCATCTCCCCAAAGTTTCATGGTACACGGATGAACGGTGTGAAACCGAAATTGTATAAACTGTATATAGAGAAATCGCGGCCGCCCGTGGCGCCGCCCTTGCGAAATTAAAAAGGATTTTTTTTTACAGAACCCTTCCCTTAATTGTTCTAATCAACTCCCCCAAAGTCTCATGGCTATCGGATAATGGTGTCACACCAAAATCTATTTATTAACACGTTTTTATTAACTTAGCTTCGCGTGGATGTGTTTGTTGTTAAAATTGACATCGAAAATTAGCCCACTTCTGATTGCTCTATAGATCTGAAATTTGGCATGCAGGTTACTTTCGCCTAACAATTTCAGATGCAATCATAAAAACTAGCAATTAGAGACCGTAATTAGCTTAATTTAATTACGCCCAAAGGACCATAAAATTGAGGACATGATTTCTAAAGATACCGACAAGACTGGAGGCTTGTTGACACAGTTACTTCGGCCCCAATCGATGTGAGCGCGCTGGCCGTGATCGTATAGTGGTTAGTACTTCGCGTTGTGGCCGCGACAACCCAGGTTCGAATCCTGGTCGCTCAAGATTTTTTTAGTCCGTGTATTTATAAACACTTAGTCAATTCATACTTAATCAAGTCATTAGATAAAGTAGAAAATAAACTATGTAAAAAACTTTTTTAAAAACCACGTTTTTCATGTGTAGCAACGGACTAAAAAGGAGAAAATAAAATACTTAAAAAAAACTTTTTAAAAAACCACGTTTTTCTTGTGGACTAAAAAGTAGAAAATAACTATTTACATACATTTGATGACAAAAAACGTGGGTCGGGCAGATGGGTCGGGAAATTTGATGGTGAACGTACCCACGTTTTTTGTCATCAAATGTATGTAAATAGTTATTTTCTACTTTTTAGTCCACAAGAAAAACGTGGTTTTTTAAAAAGTTTTTTTAAGTATTTTATTTTTATAAACAGTATATAGAGAAATATCGCACCCTCCCGTGGCGCCGCCCTTGCGAAATACAAAATATTTTTTACAGAACCCTTTCCTAGAGTTTTATAATGAACTCACCAAAGTTTCAAGCCTATCGGATAAACGGTGTCACTGCAATTCACTTTTATTATTTTGATATACCGTAAAAGGGGAAAAATCGGACCCTCCCTTGGCGCCGACCTTGCGAAATTAAAAATTATTTTTTTACAGAACCCTTCCCTAGAGTGGTATAATGAACTCCCCAAAGTCTCATGGCTATCGGATGAACGATGCCAAACCAAAATCGACTTTTATTTTTTATACCGTATATAGAAAAAAACAAATCGCGCCGTTTCAGGGCGCCAACCCTGCGAATTTGAAATATTTTTTTTTGCAGAAACCTCCCCAGGAATATTCTCAACAACTTCCTAAAGTTTCATAGTGATCGTTTGAACGGTGTCAAGGCAATTCACTTTTATTCTTTTTATATACGGTATATAGAGAAAAATCGCACCCACCCGTGGCGCCGCCCTTGCGAAATAAAAAATGATTTTTGAACAGAACCCTTCCCTAAAGTGCTGTAATCAACTCCCCAAAGTTTCATGCCTATCAGATGAACAGTGTGAAATCAAAATAGACTTTTATTTTTATATACCGTATATAGAGAAAAACAAATCGCGCCTTGTCGGGGCGCCACCCCTGCGAATTTGAATTTTTTTTTTTCTCAGAAACCTCCCCAGGAATATTTTCAACAACTTCCCAAAGTTTCACGGCGATGTGATAAGAGGTGTGGTAATGCATAAAAGACACAGACAGACAAACACAGAGACACACACACACATACATTGCTTTTTATATATATAGATAGAGTTACATGACTATAAACCATTGCGCGCCCATTGAACGTGATGATGCGTATGTATAGAACTGCCTACTAATTTGGTCAAAATTTTAATTAATTCATACAAAATCAATCAGGCTACCAATTAAGTCGCATTTAAGGTCACGATGCATTGTCTTCATGTCTTGACCCACGTACCAATTACGAACCATATCTGTCAGAAGTGCCTGCAATTTCGTACGGCGCTTCGACCTAGACAGACAGACAGACGGACAGAGGAAGTGAGTTAAATAAAAGCTTGTAATGAATAAGGCGACCAATTAAGTCAAATTGAATGTCACGATGCATTGTCTTCATGTCTTGACCCACGTACCAACTACGAACCGTACCTGTCAGTTAGAAGTGCCTGCAATTTACCACGGGCGTTTCGATCTAGACAGACAGACAGACAGAGAAAGTGAGTTAAATAAAAGCTTGTAAAAATAATTAGAATATAGTTTCCACTTTGTCGCCCACGATCTATAGCTAGTTAACAATCTTCTAATGAACCGACTTCACCATCCATTCATCCATTAGTGAAATTTGTAAACAGCGCGTGTTAATGTGTTGATGAAGTTTGATGGTAAATTTTTTTATGAAAACATACCAAAACATTAAACAATTGATGTTTCATTTTTTTATTACATTCTCAAACAGAAAAACACATTTATCGGGATTGGCAAAAAAAAATGTTAAAATTATTGTGAGAGGGTGTATTTTAGTTTCGATATCTGTAAATTGAGGATATTTTTTTATGATAAGAATTAAAATTTGGGATGTGTCAAAGGCAAAATGTGGCTTCCCTTTCGAAGTTTAATTAATTGTCATTTTTGCATAAACGTTTTTGTGGAGAATCGACTAGACAGCTCTAAGATGTTTATGGAATACCTCACTAATTAAGCTCTTCCTTCAAGTTGTTATAAAGTAGCTGTACTTAACCAGCTACGCATATGTAATCAAGGGCAAGGACACTCCATCTGAAAAACATGACCAAAATTAAAAGTTTATAAACACTTTTGAGATAAATTTTCGTAAATGTTTCTGCATGTGTTAAATACATATATCTATATATCTATATATCTATATATCTATATATCTATATATATATATATATATATATATATATATATATATATATATATATATATATATATATATATATTAGTCGTCATCTCTGAAAAACGGATCTGTAATGGAGCTTAACTTGTGTGTTTAGTAATCAGCATTTACCCGGCATTGCCCACCCTAACCACAACCCACAAAAAACGCAAACATAACACTAACACAAAACAAACACAAACGAAATAACTTGTGTGTTTAATAATCAGCATTTACCCGGCATTGCCCACCCTAACCACAACCCACAAAAAACGCAAACATAACACTAACACAAAACAAACACAAACGAAAACACAAAAACAAACGCAAAGACAAACCCAACCACAAACACAAAGAAAACACAAACACTAACGCAAACAAAAAAGCAAACAAAAACAAATCCTAACGCAAACACAAACCCAACCACAACCAAAGAAAACCAAAACACACCAAAAAAAAACAACGCAAACATAACACAAATAAAAATACAAACACAAACGCAAACAAAAAAGCAATCGCAAACACAACCACAAACACAACCAAAACACAAACAAAATACCCGACATGGTGTTATTTGGCGCCCCGGGCCTTCCCTTGTTCGCTATGGCGCCTACATTCGTTTAAGTGTGCGCATAAGACTAAGAATAAGTTAGGGTACTATAGTCGTTTACTAAGTTGAATCAGGCGTTTTCGCCGGTGCCTCAGAATGGTGCGATATATATATATTTATTTATTTATTTATTTATATTTATAGAGAGAGAGAGAGCGAGAGAGAGAAACAGAAAAATGAAGAGTGAGAGAGAGATAATTAAATAATACAGACAATGAAATAATGATTTAGATGTAGATGTAGATGTAGATGTAGATGTAGATGTAGATGTAGTTGTAGATGTAGATGTAGATGTAGATGTAGATGTAGATGTAGATGTAGATGTAGATGTAGATGTAGATGTAGATGTAGATGTAGATGTAGATGTAGATGTAGATGTAGATGTAGATGTAGATGTAGATGTAGATGTAGATGTAGATGTAGATGTAGATGTAGATGTAGATGTAGATGTAGATGTAGATGTAGATGTAGATGTAGATGTAGATGTAGATGTAGATGTAGATGTAGATGTAGATGTAGATGTAGATGTAGATGTAGATGTAGATGTAGATGTAGATGTAGATGTAGATGTAGATGTAGATGTAGATGTAGATGTAGATGTAGATGTAGATGTAGATGTAGATGTAGATGTAGATGTAGATGTAGATGTAGATGTAGATGTAGATGTAGATGTAGATGTAGATGTAGATGTAGATGTAGATGTAGATGTAGATGTAGATTAAGATGTAGATGTATATGTATATGTATATGTAGATGTAGATGTAGATGTAGATGTAGATGTAGATGTAGATGCAGATGCAGATGCAGATGTAGATGTAGATGTAGATGTAGATGTAGATGTAGATGTAGATGTAGATGTAGATGTAGATGTAGATGTAGATGTAGATGTAGATGTAGATGTAGATGTAGATGTAGATGTAGATGTAGATGTAGATGTAGATGTAGATGTAGATGTAGATGTAGATGTAGATGTAGATGTAGATGTAGATGTAGATGTAGATGTAGATGTAGATGTAGATGTAGATGTAGATGTAGATGTAGATGTAGATGTAGATGTAGATGTAGGTGTAGGTGTAGGTGTAGATGTAGATGTAGATGTAGATGTAGATGTAGATGTAGATGTAGATGTAGATGTAGATGTAGATGTAGATGTAGATGTAGATGTAGATGTAGATGTAGATGTAGATGTAGATGTAGATGTAGATGTAGATGTAGATGTAGATGTAGAAGTAGATGTAGATGTAGATGTAGATGTAGAGGTAGATGTAGATGTAGATGTAGATGTAGATGTAGATGTAGATGTAGCTGTAGATGTAGATGTAGATGTAGATGTAGATGTAGATGTAGATATAGATGTAGATGTAGATGTAGATGTAGATGTAGATGTAGATGTAGATGTAGATGTAGATGTAGATGTAGATGTAGATGTAGATGTAGATGTAGATGTAGATGTAGATGTAGATGTAGATGTAGATGTAGATGTAGATGTAGATGTAGATGTAGATGTAGATGTAGATGTAGATGTAGATGTAGATGTAGATGTAGATGTAGATGTAGATGTAGATGTAGATGTAGATGTAGATGTAGATGTAGATGTAGATGTAGATGTAGATGTAGATGTAGATGTAGATGTATTTATTTGCATTTAATATTGACTGCACATAGAATTTCACTCAGTGAACTGATTATTAAAAAAAAAAATTAAACATGATTTTAAACATATTATTATAATGTTGATTGTGAACGTTTTGAGAAAAAAATCACATGTATTCATAGAAATTTGCAATTCAGTTGTTTAATTTTAGAAAAAGAAAATTTCTCTATATTAAAATTTAAAAAAAAATCACAACTTACTGGCATTTCATCCCACGGGGGCAATTATTTGGTTTATTATAACAATAGAATTTTTTGCTTCTATTTAGAACATTACATCTAAATATAGAAATATAGAATTAAAATGGCAATTACAATACTAATGAATAAGCTCATGTGTTATTAATATTGGTGCTATTATTTAATATCTTGTGTTCTAATATAATTAATTTAAATAATGAATAGTAAAATGAAGCGAAAACTAAATTGATACAAAAATATATGGATGTAATTTTGATTGTCGATATAATATTATATTGTTCAACAAAAAACTTGAAAAGTCTATGTAATAATTTAATTTTTTTTATATCTTAAAAAAATACTGCAAGCGATACAATCATAGTTACATGACATTGTGTAAAAAATAATAATCTGTAAGAACATCAATTACACTCTTTTTTTCATATTTTTGTTTTGAATATAAGTCGTTAAAGTCAAGCAAATGGCCAGAAAGAGTAAAACAAAGAGAGTCGCCACAATTGTTTTCTTTGATAAAATACACAATAGTAGTCGATGGGTATAGCCTAGTAGTTAATTTATATTAAATAATATAACATCGACTGTCAACATAACACACTGATTCTACTGATCCAAATTAAAAATATAAGTGTTAGCTAAATTACTATTGTAGTACTATTCAGAGGCGTCGCGAGAAGGGGAGGGGGGCGGACCGCACCGGTGACACCATTTAGGGGGTAACACCAAGGCAAAAAAGAGCAACATATATATATATATATATATATATATATATATATATATATATATATATATATATATATATATATATATATATATATATATATATATATATATATATATACATATATATCTAAAAGATCATTCAGTTAAATAAATGAATAATTAGAGTTGAAAAGTAATTTAATTAAGAACAAAAGTGACAAATCCCGAAAAAGGTGTGTGTGGAGGAGGGTGGGGGTGACACCATGACGTAATACTGCTAACTATATAGAAAACTATACTACATTCAGCTGTATTTATAACCACCTATTGATCAACATCGTTAGTATGATCTATGCAAAGTTTAAAGCTATCGCCTAATGGAGGGGGGTGGGGGGGGGGGTTGGCACCAACTAAACGTTGCCTGAGGAAAAATGTTTTCATGTCTGGGGGGGGGGGATACACCAAATTTAATAATTTACTACAACTTGAATTAATAACTGTTAGAGTAAGGAATCTAAATAATTTTTCAAGGTGGATTAATATATGTAATGTTCGCACACATTGATCAATGGAATTTGTTATACAATCAGTATATAGTAATTATTTGTTTGAATATTTCTAGCCTTAATAAAACCTAAAGTTTTTTTTGTACGTAATTCGCAAATGTTATAAAATATTGTGATGTAGATGTTTATATAAAGCGTATATGAGAGTGGCCTCGCCTTGAAAATAGTGTGCGAGCGTGAAAAAGAAGTGTGTGAACGGTGTGTGTAAGCGGTGTGTGGTGTATCGTCAACTTAGCGTAGCATGTTGCCAGTTTCTCTCTGTGTCAATGTTCACCGTTTCTCTTGTAATTGTTGGAAATTACATGTGACTGTTGCAATTTCACTCCGTGGATTCTGTTTTTATTTATGTAACACCTGGCCCCAGAAATAATTGAAAAGCTGAGGGTAAAAATATTCTATTTCGGTTGAAAAATATGTTTTATGGCAACAATCTTTTGGAACCATTTGGAACCAGCTTTCAATGCAACACTTTTAATTTCTGGTGTATACACACTTACGCGTTGGCATAGGCAACCATAAGGAGGATAAGGAAAAACCAAAGCTTCATTTCTTGTTGGAATGAGGCTGAAACAAATCAAATTTGTAATTTTAAGAAAGCTGTTTAAAGAGAGCGTTGTGTTGACAACTAATCGACGAAATTGAACTCATCTATTCGTCTTTTGTTTTAACAAGCCTTTCGGCAGAACATTAGAAATTTGTCTTTTTTTGGATAACTTATTATCTCTTGCCGTCATCCGTCATCTTCAGTTTCTTCATTTGCTAAATTGTAGAATTCTACTAGTATACGAAACACGAAGTTGCTTGGGCTAACCCACACTTACAAGTATAATTGAATGGCTGCGGCAAAACCCTATTCTGCACTACCCCCCCTAAACCCAATCTAATAGAACCCTAATATTAATAAATTGTCTTAGGTGTAATTATAGCGTTACTTTTATGTTCAGTTTCAAATTAAAAGTACCACGCTTTACGTTTACAAATACGTAAAGTTCCTTTTAAGACGGTCCATGGGGCAAGTGAAGTAAAATTAACTTGTTTCTGTAACCTCGGCATATGAACATATGAAGGGTCGGTGTGGTCATCACTCTGCATATGAACATATGAAGGGTCGGCGTGATCAACACTATGCCCAGCCGACTTTACTTTCCCATTCGAATCCGTGTTCAAGTCAGTAGACCGTTCCTGAGTCCACCCAACTCTGATGGGTACCTAACTCATGTTAGGGATAGTAAAGGCGGCTGGGCATAGTGTTGACTGGAATTGCTAAGTAAGTATAAACATCAACAACCATTAAGATGAGGCGCACATTTTTTTTAAAATTAAAGTAATCTACGAATGAAAACATTTTTTTTAAATACAATCACATTAAGCAGAAAGCATTGTAGTAATCGTGTTGCAGTTATAATCTAACTATCTATATATTTCCGAGAAGTATACATACAACACAAAATATACACAGGCATACCTGTTCACGTTGAAGAATGTGTTGGCGTTTGTTTGATAAGTGAATGGTTTATATAGATTGCATGGTTGTAATTCGATAGGCCCCATACTAATAGGACTTTAACGCAACCTGTCGCTGACATAGATAAAACATCTTAATGTATTTACATTAGATCAATACGCTGTAACGGTAGAGATTTAAAAACAAAATATCATTATATCGCTTTACTTGAGGCTCAAAAGAATATACAACATAAAAAGCTGATACATTAACATAGCTTATTAGTTTAAATCAGTTCATGGGAATATACAACATAAAAAATTGGTACATTATCATATTTGTATTCGTTTATACCCAGTAAGCTAGTAGATTTTATATTTGTAATATAAGAAAAGTTCATTTTCGACATTATGATTGTACCAATAAGGATAGGGGTTGTCGTTTTAGACTACTAGCACCATCTGTTGTACATCTTATTTCTGTTGAATATATTGTAACTGTTGTATATGTTGTATATGTTGTATATGTTGTATATTTTGTATATGTTGTATATGTTGTATATGTTGTATATGTTGTATATGTTGTATATGTTGTATATGTTGTATATGTTGTATATGTTGTATATGTTGTATATGTTGTATATGTTGTATATGTTGTATATGTTGTATATGTTGTATATGTTGTATATGTTGTATATGTTGTATATGTTGTATATGTTGTATATGTTGTATATGTTGTATATGTTGTATATGTTGTAAATGTTGTATATGTTGTATATGTTGTATATGTTGTATATGTTGTATATGTTGTATATGTTGTATATGTTGTATATGTTGTATATGTTGTATATGTTGTATATTTTGTATATGTTGTATATGTTGTATATGTTGTACATGTTGTACATGTTGTATATGTTGTATATGTTGTATATTTTGTATATGTTGTATATGTTGTATATGTTGTATATGTTGTATATGTTGTATATGTTGTATATGTTGTATATATTGTATATGTTGTATATGTTGTATATATTGTATATGTTGAAACTGTTGTATCTGTTGAATCAGTTGAAACTGTTGTAACTGTTGTATGTAGTATGTTGTAACTATTGTATCAGTTGTATCTGTTGTGACAGTTGTAACTATTGTATCAGTTGTATCTGTTGTGACAGTTGTAACTGTTGTATCTGTTGTAACTTTTGTAACTGTTGTAACTGTTATTTCTGTTGAATCTGTTGTAACCGTTGTATTTAGTGAATCTGCTGTATACGTTATATCGTAAATAATTGTTGTATCTGTTGTCTCTGTTGTAACAGTTCAATCTATATGTTCTATCTGTTGTACCTTATTGTTGTATATGTTGTATACTTTTTATTAGTTGCAATTGTTGTATATGTTCTAACTGTTGCTTACGTTATATCGTATCTTTTGTATATATTGTAACTGTTATAACTACTGTAGCTGTTGTATATGTTTTATGTATATTTTTTATCTATTGTATCTGTTGTATATATTGTAACTGCTGTACTTGTTGTAACCAATGGCGTAGGCGGGAGGGGGGGGGGGGGGGGGGTAAAAATTATTACTGTTATAATACCACTGTTACTTATTTAAATTTATTTCTGAATAGATGTATAATTTTATATGTATGTTTAGAACAGTAATCTAAAAACTGACGCTATGTTCACTCTGAGTTGGTTATTCTCCCCCACCTCGCCACCTAAAACGGGAAAGGCAGTAATTGGGTTACTGAAGTTAAACTTGAACCCCCCCCCCCCCCCCCCCCCCCATGAGACAATCCTTGCTAAGCCACTTGTTGTAACTATTGTATAAGTTATGTCGTATCTAATTTTTGTATCTGTTGTAACTTTTGTATTTCCTATATGTTGTATTTTGTAACTGTTGTATACGTTATATAGTATTTAGTGTATATATTGTAACTGTTATAACTACTGTAACTGTTGTGACAGTTCTAACAATCATAACTGTTGTAACAATAAAAAAAGTCGTTAGCGTTGTAAATAATTTTTAATAAAATTTGCACATTTGGGATCGAACATATGTCGCCTTTATTCCAAAATTTAAATACATACTTATTTAAATGTTCACGTACAAAGAACATCTCATGCTTTAAGCTGTGAATATTGAGTTGCAGGTATGTTATGTCCTAACCACTTTAACTATCGATTATTTAAAATCACCAGCATGTGGTGCAGATAAGCAATCAGAAACCATAAGCTTTTACATGTATGCAACTAAACCAATCCGTATAATCCTAATTAATACGTTTTTTGATCAGTACATTTGAGCATAAAGGACATTTTAAGCTGCCAATCTTAAACAATTAAATTTGATATATGACTGGATGAAAATATCAAACTTGAACTATAAAGTGAATTGTTTTTGTTTTTTTCTTCAGATAATATTTCAAGAGAATACTGTAATATTGATTTGGTATAATCTGTCTCCAGGTTTAATGTAAAACCTGTCTCTACGTTTAATATATGCACAACGTTACAAATTCATAGTGTGTTGTTTCAAAGAGTAACTGTATGCCTTGTCTGTTTTGTAATAAGAATGATCAGAGTCAGAGGCGTGGCGACCCTTCCAGGTGCCCTGGGACAAACTTTCAACTTGCCCCCCCCCCCCCCGGGGGACAAACCAAATATTTTTTTTATTAATTATAATGCAAATCTGCAGTTAGAATGAGCTTTTAATATTTTTTTCCACCTATTTTTGCGCCCCCTAGGGTCGGCGCCCGGGGACATATGTACAACCCCCTTGCTACGCCTCTGATCGAAGCCCTTCACTCTTGAGAAAGTCAATAATCGGGCAGGTAAGTTCCACAAACTTCTACTCACTATTCTTGCGGCCATTTGTTTATTTTTTTTCTTTTACTCTCTTCAGCCTTTGTGACTCCATCAAATTTCTGCCACTCCTTGTTTTATTATCATGCTAATTCGATCTCAAAATTTGATTATCAGCTTTCGCTTTCTACTTAATGCAGGGGTCTCCAAACTACGGCCCGCGGGCCGGATGCGGCCCGCGAGTTCATTTTATCCAGCCCGCGACGATCTTTATGTCCACTGAAACATTTTTTTTGTTGGAGGTGGTTGAGGAGCTTTGCACAGAAAATTCAAAACTATTTGAAAATGTAACTTTGTGGGCAAATACAATTACTCGCCGTGTTGCAGACATTGTTGAAAACATTGTGACACAAATAGCAAAAAATTCAAGCAAATTTCGCCATTTTTCAATTGCAATGGATGAGTGGCTGGACAGCTGTTCCACCTCTCAGCTATTTGTTTTCATAGAGGTGTGGATGAAAACATGAACATAACACGAGAGCTGGCCTTCTACATATAATGTATGACACTGTTACCAAAGGGGATATCTGACCATAGATAGTTCAGAGACAAAAACAAAATCAAAACGCAAGATTTACCATATTTCACATCAGTAAGATTGCCAATTTAGAGAGAAAATTCTGAGCAGAGTATCTAAGAAAATAAATAGGTGTCTTCCTGATTGTAAAGGCAGGTCACATCCATTATTGTCTGATGAAGAGTGGGTATAGAAATTTGCCTCTGCTGCAGACATAACTAGTCATTTAATTTTTCGAAACCTAAAACGGCAAGAGAGTGAAATCTAGTTTCTGATCTATACACCCACCTAAAGGCTTTTAGATACAAACTTGTCATGTTTTTGGAACATGTACAGGCTAACAGCTTGACACACTTTCAGCAGTGCAACGTCTTTAGGGCTGAAGCAACCACTGAGTTCCCCACGTCATTTAGATACGAGATCATTAAAGACCTCCAGCTGAAGTTTCAGTAGCGGTTTTCTGACTTGGATTCATATGCAGAAGAAGTGAGATCGTTTCAAAGCCCATTTGAAGCAAATGTGGCCAGTTGCAAAGATGAACTGCAGCTGGAGGTCATTGAATTGCAAGAAAATGACCTCCTTAGAGACAAGCTAAAAGAAGGGCGGATGGGTTTTCATACGTTTTTGCACAAGGAAGACTTTCCTAACATTAAAACTTTTGCATCAAAGTACCTTTCAAATTTTCGAACAACATGCTGTGTGAACAAACATTTTCAAGAATGAAATACGGGAAGAACAATTTCAGAACAAACGTGGACCTCGAGTCAGTGGCGTAGCTAGGATTTTTTGGCCCCTATGCAAAAAGTGTTAGTGGGCCCCTCAGAGGCGTAGCGACCCTTCCCGGCGACCGGGAACAAACTTTCGATTTGCACCCCCCCCCCTCAAACTTTCGAAAAAGGGCACCTATTTGCCTTGGGCCCCTATGCCTTGCTTACGCTAGCTTTACGGTAGCTACGCCACAGCCTCGAGGGGGGGGGGTGGACACTTGAAATTTGTAATTATTTCTGTATACATTATATCTCGTTGGGGGGGCGGTAGACGTTCTTTGCGAGGGGGGGGGGGGGAGGAGGGGCGCCACGACCTTGAAGAGATACCTTAAAGAAACTCTGGCCCCCGAACTGATATTTGATAGTCCTCGGGCTGAAAAGTTTGGAGACCCCTGGCCTAGAGTGATGGATTGTTTTGTTTTGTCGGCCTACATTTTGTGTTTTTTTCTTATTTCTTTACTGTACTACTTTCAATTTATTTTACATCATATCGAAGCAATGACATACAACTAGTTTTTCTACTGTATCTGCTGTATCCGTTTATGTTTATCTATCTATTTATATGTATATATATATATATATATATATATATATATATATATATATATATACACATATATATATATTTATATATATATATATATATATATATATATATATATATATATATATACACAAATAGATAGATGGATACATATTATTGTACATTTCTGTTAAACAATTAGTGCCCCTCCGGGTATCAGAGAAGAACTCACCTACATAAAGTGATGCGACTGCCGGTGTAGGAACCGCTGCATGTAAGATATGCGCCGCTTTCGTTTAATAACAACGATTTTTAGCGTTCGGAATTTTCTGCAGGAAGTAAAACAAATAAGTAAAACCAGACGCTGCAAGTCACAGTTTTTAGCAGCGGCTCTATTACTATATCAGAAGTTCTATTATTATTGCAGCGGTTCTATT